AAGTGACAGTACTTCTTTACCCATATTATGTCTACAGATTGCTGTCCCAAGACTCTATTTTGGTTGATGCATAGGAAAAGGGGCCCAGGGAATCTTTGGAAGGCTGGGTGGAGTATCTCAGTCACTCATACTCTAGTCACCTCTAGTTTGGACTAGTGTAATGCTCTCTACATGGGAATGATCTAGAACAGAGGTCTTCAAACTTGGCAGCTTTAAGACTTGTGGACTTCAACTCCCAGAATTCTCCAGCCAGCATAGCTATGCTGGCTGGAGAATTCTGGGAGTTGAAGTCCACAAGTCTTAAAGCTGTCAAGTTTGAAGACCTCTGATCTGGAACCTTCAACTCATGCAGAATGCCATAGTATGGGCAATTATGTTTGCTCTAGAAGACTACATATTACATCTCTGCTCTAGCAGTGGCATTCTTCCAGGTCCAATTCAAGGTGCTGGTTTTGATCTTTAAGGCCCTTCATGGCATGTGACTAGCATATCTAAGGGATGGCCCTTCCCTGATTACATTAACCTGCTCTATTAGATTTGGCAGACAAGGTATGCTGAGGTACCATTTGCCAGCAACATACATTTAGTGGGTCCCAGGAGGTGGTCCTTCTCTGTTGTGGCACCTGACATATGGATCTTTCTTTCTTTCTCTTTCCTTTTCTCTCTCTCTCTCTCTCTCTCACAAACACACGCTAGGTTGGCTATTTTTCTGGAAGTCCTTCAACATTGGGTTGTATCACCAGGCCTCAGGGAACTAAAGATGTTCTTAGTTGTCTCTACTGTGGTTGATATATTCATTCTGTGTGATTTGCATATTTTGGACAATATTTTCATTTTTAATAATGACTTTTTAGAATGATCATTTTTAGGTATCTATTGTATTATGCAATTGTTGTATGCAACAAGTAAATAAATAAGTCTGATAAGCAAGCATACAGCGACAAATAAAGCAAAATATTCTTTGGTTTTCATTTCAACAAGAAAGTTCAAGTAAGTACAGAATTCATTTGCTAATTATATCTGTGGATCTTGCTCTTAGGCAACATCTGAATTCTGAAGTATTTTGAAGTCTACTGACTGATGTTGACAATTAGCAAAAGAATGGTTTTGGCAAACATGAAAGACGCATTGTTGGAAGAGGCTACTATAGCAGAGGAGTCCCCAACCCCCGGGCCGTGCACATGGTGGGCAAGTATGCGCAGCTCCACTTGTGCAAGAGGCACTCACATGTGAAGCTCCATTTGTGCAAGCAGAACCATCCCCTCTTCCTCCACCCTGCCCCCAGTCTGCAAAGCTGGAAAGTTTGGGGATTGCTGTACTATAGTATCTGCTTTCTTAAGGAATTGATAGAGAATAAGGAGTTACACCATACACCCACAGATGTGAAATGATAGCCTATTATTATATGGGAGGAATAAAAATAAAATGAGATAGTGAAGTATAATGTACCCCTTTCACCGATTTTAACAACTAGCAAAATTCTTGCCAGCTGCTGCTAACAGTGTCCTAACAATTAAGCCTGGAACACAATTGATGTCTTAAATTAGGCTGACTAGTTTCAATAATTTTTGCAGCCATAACCCCCGCCCCCATTTGTATAGGATCAGATTAATAGCATGTTCTCCTCAGAAATAGAATAAAATTCTTTATTAACCAGGTGTGAAAGAATTTGTCTGCAGTGCATAAGCTCTCAGTGTACATACAAATAACAAAGTAATAATAAGATATCAATGGAAGGTAGTAGGAAAGATGAGAAGGATAATAATAGTAATAATAATATAGCCCTATTATATGGGTAAATATTCCTAGAGATGAGACAATGCTGTGGGAATTAGGTGTTTAGCAGAGTGATGGGGGGAAAATTGTCTCTGTGTCTAGTTGTTTTGGCATGCAATGCCCTGTAGCAATATCCTGCGGAGAGGACTTGAAACAGTTTATGTCCAGAATGTGAAGGCTCTGTAGATATTTTCTCCGCCCTCTTTCTGACTTGTGCAGTATACAGGTCCTCAATGGAAGACAGGCTGGTTGCAATTGTTTTTTCTGCAGCCCTGACTATCTGTTGAAGCCTGTCCTGTTTGGTTGATGTACCAAACCAGACAATCAGAGATAAAAATGACACACTCCAGAATTCCTCTGTAGAACTGTATCAGCAGCTCCATGAGCAGCCTGAACTTTCTGAGTTGATTTCAGGAAGAACATTTTTTGTTGTGCCTTTTTAATGATGATTTTAATGTTAGGTGTCCATTTCAAGTCCTGGAAGAATGTAGAACCCAGAAACTTGAAAGTCTCTGTTGATACTGTATTGTCTAATATTATAGGAGGCGGTAAAATAGGAGGGTTTACTTTACCTTGTGCAGTGGAACAGTTTTCCCTCTTACTCAGAATACAAGCATCTGTGCTTCCAATCTGACTCAAAATCCAGTATTCCTTTCGTACCTTGCCATTCTCCCTCTCTGTAATTTATCTGCTCTCTGTTGCCAAGCTGATTATGTTTAAAAGCTCATTTGGACGAAAGCGCTACATTTCAGCCTTCTACTTAAAACAATCTGACAAACTGTGCTAAATTACAATATCTGGGATGGGTCTGAAGTAGCTTAGCCAACTAATGGCACATTTCCAAGAGGACTTCCCATCTCAAAATGTTTCAGCAACTGGATACACCCCCCATAAACATTTGTTATTCAATGATTCACAGAATTCCCAGGCACCCAGTTAGACTGCACCTGGAAGTTGTAGTCTGTGACATCCTAGTGGGGATCCAAGTTGTTTGAAATTGTTTCTATCCTAGGACAACGTTTTGAGAACTCTAGCAATGGTATGCTGTATAAGATAGACTTGACTTCTATAATCGTGATGGCGAACCTATGGCACGCGTGCCAGAGGTGGCACATGGAGCCCTCTCTGTGGGCGTGCAGTCACCAGCTGTTCTTCTGGGTTCTGTCACGTGCATGCGCGTCGGACAGCTGATAGACCAACTGGACGGTATACATGCATGTGCCAGAACCTAGAAGACAGCAGCTGGCCGGTGTGCATACGCACGACAGAACCCAGAAAAGCAGCTGGAAGCTGCACTCTCTTCCAGATTCCAGTGCTCCAACACCCACATGCGGTCCAGTTTCGGCACTCAGTGCCAAAAAGGTTAACAGTCACTGGTCTATAAGTTGTCAGCAACCATTTCCACATTGCAAAAAGCAGATAATGAATAGAAAAGCCTATGAATTTCTCAGCCAATTATATAGTTGCTTTTAATTGACTTCAATATATAAGCTAATTTTTTCCAATCTACAAACTTTTAGCACTCTATTCATTTATTGCATTTGTAATAATGCTTGAACCTTTAAACTTAATGTCATATTAATATGAGGAATCTGCTAGTTTTCTTTGCTCATTCATTTCTAGATAAAATAATTGATCTGGTTTTGCTTTGCCCACTCAGCAAAAGCACTGCATGTAATATGATAAATATCAAGAACATGCAGATAGTCTGTTTCATGCCATCTCATTAGAGGCATGAGGTTGGCACAACATGAAAGGCTACTCTGAAGTTAATTATCTGCTCTTGATAATTATCTGCTCTTGTGCAAGCTTGAAAACTACAAATTTTTTAAGCCTAACAAAATGATAAGAGCATACTTTTGTATTTGACTTAACACTTGTTCATGATAAAGGTATCACATATAATTACATTGCTTGCATATATGATATAAATCTCAGTGAACAATTTGTAAGGCATTGAAACCCTAAAATAAAATTTGCTGGCATGTTCAATGCAACAATACTGTAGCATTTTATTAGCCTGTGAATAGGCTTGAACTTGTAAAAGTGTCCTTATTTTGTAGCCTGAAAGTAACACAGAGTCCCTACAGATGGTAGAGTCCATGTTCTGCATACAGAAAATTATAGAGTCAGTCTTTGGTATCTTTAAAAAGAGCCATCAAACACCAAGAAAGACCACTGGTGAAGGTCCCTTCAGCTGCTCTTGTCAGAAGAGGTTCCATCCTGTTAATTAATCCTAATTCAATCCTCCAATCCTAGAATAATTGAAGAGTAAAAGCAGGGCTGAATGTTGCTATAAATGAAAATGTGGAATTACTATTTCCATCAAGGCATTACAGAAAATAACGCCAGGCATGACTAATCAGTGGAAACACTGCATAGACTAATTTCATCACTACCTGCCTGTTTCCTCATGGATACACTTACCCTGGTAGCCATAGGCAACGTGAAACTCCATGCCGGTGAATGCACCAAAGCACAGTCAAGTGAGTGGACTCCCAAGGGTAACATGTTCTGGGCATCTATTGCAAAAACTACAAAGACTACCCCCCCCCTCCTCAGTCCCAAGCGAAGTATTCCCTCTGTTCCCTGCAGTTTCAACCAACTACTATATTTCCCACCCCTCAAAAAAGTTATTAACTGGGATGGGTTGCATTGTAGGATTTACCAGGCTGACCAGTGTCACGAAGAAAGTAGATTGGCTTAAGTAACATAGTACAAAACAAGCAACTATGCCAATTGGCATTGGCTTCAAGCATCTTTCTCTGCTCTTCCAACTCAGGCACCCATTGATAGAACTGCTGGGGGGGGGGGAAAGCATGGTATAGAAAATAAAAGTCAAGCGCATCTTAAGGATTTCCTTCCTTATCGACAAGTTTCCCCTCCCCACCCACCCAATGTTGATCAGTTAAAATCAAAATAAAGGAAAACCCTAAAAAGAAGAGAATTCTCATCAGCCAGATTCCTTTTGGCTGAATAATAGTTCAAGAGAGCCAGACAAATGCAATTCGGAACTGCGAGAGGAACTCTTGTTAAGTCAGGCTTGCAGCCTTTTTCCCCTCTCTAATCGGAAAGCCCTACAGAAAGACCCTCAAGCTCATTCAGGTCACTGAACAAATGCCTCTCCCCCCCCCCACACCTTAGCCATTCTGGATTTGAAAACAAAGCAAAACAAAACAAAACTTTTTCTCCCCCTCAACCCAAGTAGTTCCTTTGGTCCTTACCTCTTTCTGGATCTTCCGAACGCGCAAGTCGTGCTGCCGTGGAGCGCAGTGCAGCTTCTGCACAACCCAAGCCCGGAGTTGGTAGTAAATGTCGAAAAGGACAGAAAGGGGCAACAGGAAGAGGCACACGAAAATCCAGCGGTGGTGGACTAGCACGTACTCGAGGCCCCTATAGCGAGCCCAGAGCAAGAAAAGCAGAAGCCCAATCCCTAGAGACAGCAGAGGCCCCATCCTCACTCAAGCCTCTTCCTCTGGGAGCTCGCCAATGCCGCTTCTCTCTTTATAACCCGGGCTGCAGAGTCGCACCAGGCTATGTGCTCTCCTTTCACGTTAACAGCCACCACTTTCACCAACCTGCGCCTTCCTCTCGGCCCCACCTTTCTCCAGCCGCTTCCTATGTCTTGCAATCCAAAACTGCGCCTTTTTAAAGGATACCTCCAGATTGTTCTACTATTTGTTCTACTAAGAAGATTGCTTCTTCTTCTTCTCTCTCTCTCTCTGGCTACCAATGCGTAGCCCCTCTTTATACGCGGCGCTCAAGGAACCCCCAAAAGTGCATTCATAAGGTCAGAATAAGATGCTTCCCACTTCCAATCTTCCACTCAAGAACCCCTAAAAGTCTATTCCTAGCGGGCTTTGACTCCCGCTTCCCTCTCGGTCTGCTGCACCGCCCCCGATGCGAGGTCCCCTTAGTCGAACGGATCACTGAAACCCACGGATCGCGCCCACCGCCACTAATCTTTTACAACGCCGGCAAGCCACCTCCCCGCGCCCCACTCCGCTCTCCCGAGCATCTCTCTTCGGGTTGGCTGAGCGGTGAGGAGAGGGATACCGTTCGACCAATGGGAAAGCGCCGTTTGGATCGGATCAGGCGCCGAGCGGTGGGATTGGCCGAGGGAAGCCAGGGCCGGTAGAAGGGACGAAGGGTGGGGGGGGGATACCCGAAACTGGAGATCGGGTTTTCGGAACGGCGCGAGCGTGAACGGGCTCTTTGTCGTCCGCGCCCTCGGAACGGGTTTGCAAAACGTGTTTTGGCCGGAAGGAGGGCTGAGACCCAAATGGAAGGTAGCCTCTGAGCATGGGGAGATTTCCCCAGGAGCTGATCCAACAGAAAGGCACGAGCAGGTGTTTGTTGAGAAAAACCGGGCAAAAGGATTTATTGGCAGGATCGAATCTGATTTTGTCCCGAGCTAAGAAGAGAAACTTGCTTTTGCCGCCCGGCTGGAAGCGCGGATTAAAACCTTCGCTCCAGGGAAGGGAACAGAAATGAATTGATCTTTACCATAAGTAATTTGGCTGCCTCTGAGTAGCCATAACTGCTGATGGTATGGTTTTTTGGAGGAGAAATAAGAATGCAGGCTTCAATACATTCTTCACGGACAGTTGCCTCCCTGCAAAAGATGTCTCATCCTTCACAGCTTGTACGACTGAATATAGCTCTTCACCTGCCCTGGATTATTAATTATAGCCGGTCTCTTGCCCATGAAAGGAGTTTCGAAAATAACGCTGGGCAACCGACTATTATCTATAAGCTTGAAAATGCAACTGGCATGCTTGCATGAAAGAGCAGCCAGGCGTTGGCACAAGCACCGCGGGGGTCCATTTCAAGGCACGCGTTGATTTGTGGCACGTTGCCTGGAATGGTCTCCGGGTCTCCTCTTGTCCCCTGGCATGATGTCATGGCACGAGGCAAACCATCTGCAGGATCTGGGTATTTGCCATATTACATGCAGGGCTGAACAAGTCAGGAGTTTTTACAACGTTTGGACATAGCAAATTCATTAGTAGGCAAAATAAAACCAAGTGGATCCGCATGTTACCTAGAACGAATGGGCAGAGACAGTTGGCAGTGCCCTTAGACTGTATCACACCACATGTAAAGGATTTGAGCAGGATACAATAGCATGGTAGGAATACCTTTCAAGGCACGTGCTGACTTTTGGCATGTTGCCTGGAATTCTGTAGGTTTAAAGTGTGGCCCAAGGAGTTTCCCAAGACCCTCTCCGTAGTCCACGAAATCAAAATGGTTTGCCAGATATTGAAATTTTTTGCAAAAATTTAAAACAATGCCTGTCTTCTCATTAGTATTTCTATTTAAAATTTAAGATTTTTTTTCATGAAAAAAGGTTTATGTGAATGTCTAGGTCACGGGGTATAATATTCTTATTTTCATATGATTCAATAAATATTCATTTGTTTAATTATTATTTAAAGTTACAGTTTTACGGAAAATCTGACTTACAACTGGTCCTCACACTGATGATTGTTGCAGCATCCCCAAGATTGCATTATCAAAAATTGGGTGCTTTGCAACTGGCATGTATTTATCAAGGGATTGCCATTTGTGATCTTTCCAGCCAGCTTCCAACAAGGAAAATCAAATTGGGGGGAAGGTGAGACATTAAGAATCACTGCTTAATGACCTCATGATTCATATAGCCACTGTAGTGATTTTCTTAACAACATTGGCAAAAGGGGTTATTAAAATTAGACTCTCTTAACAATCGCTTTGCTTAGCAATGGGAACTCTAGCCTCTAGTCAAGGACTTTCTGTACAAAGTCTATATCTATTGGCAATCTACCCGTAGGTCAATGTGCAATCAGGTCCTGATTGTTCTTTAACTCTTTTTTTAAAAAAAATCAGATATAACTTCTTCAAGCAGTGTGCCTTTTGTGATTGCCAAAGAAATCAGTTCATGTCATCTTCATTTTTGGAACAAATACTCCCAAATTCTACAGCAAATGAAGGTTGGAAAGTGATAAACCTTCATATTTTATTGGTTTTGAGAAAATACTTTACCCCTTGATAACAATAGTATTTCCCTTTGAGGTAGATGAGGTTGTGTATGTGTAGGAATGCGGAATATCTTGTGTGGTGACAAAATAGAAATGTAGTACCGGTATTACACAGAAGCCATGTGCCAAAACGTATCTGGAAGTTCCAATATAAAGGCTGAATGGGTATAAACTAAAATTCTTTACTTTATAAAACTAAAACCCTTTCTTAAAGATTTTTTCCTGTTATCCAAATGAATACCCTATATTAATTCAATTCATTTTACTGAGAGGCATGTGAGTGATTTCATCTTGCTTCTCCCAAACTGTGGTGGAACTTGTAGTACCACAGGCCTGGATTGCGCCAATTTGTAAAATGGTTATTGATAATTAGAATGATGCTCCATAAGGCAAATAACCTTATGTTATTTCTTTATATCTATTTTAACTTTCTTACACTAGCGCTTTTGTAATCTTCTCATCATTTTAGTAATTTTTTTAAAAAGATAAAACTAAAAGGAAAAAAAATTGTAAAGTTACCGCTATTACTCCAAGAAACTCAATTTTCATGAATATTTTATTTCTTTCCCTGAATTGTTTTTCTTGGTCTGATTCACATGACCAGTTGACCCCAGGGTCAATACAGCTCAAAGAGTGCAGACTGGTTCGTCTACATTTCACTTAATTCTAGACAAACCATTCTTCTCTTCCTCTTCCCCCTCTTCCTCCTCCCCCTCCCCATCCCTCTCCTCCTCCTTCTCCCCTCTCCTTCTCTTCCCATCCCTCTCCTCCTCCTCCTATCTCTCCCTCTCCTCCTTCCAATATATCTACCATTATTTTTTATACAAGCACTAATGAAACAGTGAATCACTGAACCAAGTTCATTGATGTGATATCAGTGGAACAGTAAAAGGATGGCCCTGTCTTTTTTTGTCCTATTTTAACCAGAGGAAACTTACAAGCATTCTGTCACTTCTTTGCTAGCTCAAGGCACATGAGTAATGGGAAAGAAAAGGAGCAATCCATGGATCAGGAGCCATGATGTATAAGAGATCAGAACTTCCAAGCCTGACTGACCAGCCTCACCACCAAGCCAAACCTTAATGCCACTCATCAGACATGAAAGAGAGGACCCTGAGATGGACAAGTAGAGACTAAAGACTTTTCAATCCCCAGTCATATCTCCTTGCCAATTCCATGGGGGAAGGGACATCCCCCTCAGGCAATTCCCTCACTGAAGAAGTAGCAGAAAAGAGATCTCGAAACCCAAGACCTGATTGTGACTCACAAATGATGCTGCCCAGTTGCCCAATAAAAGCAGGATATGTTGCACTGTTGGTCTCATTAGTAGAAGTCCCAGGGCTCATTGTGCCCAATTTGAAAAATACTAAATAGCCTAGATTGCACACTGGCTAATCCCAATTTGGCCTCACAAACCCTGCATGCACTACACAACAATCTGTAGTTATTTAAAGCAAAACCATGGCTGTGTAGAATTTTGGGGATTGTGTTTGCTTAAAACCTGACTGGACGCTCACAGAAAGTGATATCTAATATCTGAAGGCAATTGGCATAGAAAATTGGACACTAAATTTCTTTCCAGAACTTTTGCCCTAGTTGCTAGACCTTAATGGATTGAAAGCTCTCCTCTTGGGAGTTAAGAGCTACTTTTCTGCTGCCTCTATCAATGCCTCAGCCTTTGCATCAGAAAAATTAAAAGCACTTATCAAGTCTCCCTGATCAGATCAATTTTTAATTTTTTGCCAATAAAATGTGTGTGCTACCCACATATGACAAAAAGTGGGGATTGTAGAAAGTTAGCATCCACCCCTCCTAGAAGAATGAAGTATTTTGAGAAATATTAAAAAAGGAAGAATATTATATTTCCCTAAAGGAGAAACATGTTTCTAAAGGCAAAAACTCAGAGCCTCAGTGTCCTGCCCCCAAGCAGATACTAAGATGAGACCAACCTTTATAAATGCAGATTTGGTAATCCATTACTCTCAGCAGCAAGGTCTGAACAAAGGTAGGATTAGCCCTCAGCTCCTTCATTGCATCAGCACACTTCAACCAAATTTGACTTCAAGACAAACATAACCCCACATGACCCCATGGGAGTCTGACAGCAACCAATAGAATACATGCCCTTGCCCAGGAACAGGAATTTCAAGGGCAAGGCCCAAGAGAGGGTATAAATAATCCTCACTCTCCACTCCATGTGGTCAGCTACCCAGAATCACATGTGCTTGGTGGTCCTGCTTTACGATTAAACCATCTTTCCGATCAGCCTCCATGTTTCCAGTGTTTTTCTTCCCACTTGGAACTGAACCAGATGGATATTTCTTCCAACATGAAGATCTTGACAAGTTGCTTGGAACTGAATGGGTCTCCATCTATTCTTTGGATTCCTGCCCAACATGGAGGATATCTTCATGCAATTAAGTGTTGAAACAGATCTTATGGACAATAATGCACCACTGAGATGGTTTTTTGAAATAGCTAGATCTCTTCAGAGGCTATTCTGGATCTTTGCAGATTAATAATTAGAAGCTGTTTTCTAACTTTCATGGTTGAGAAAGGTAACAGCGGAAGTGGTGGTTAATCAACTTCAAGCAAGAAATTGATTATCTAGATCTGTTTTAAGTTAGAAAAATGAAGCTAGAAATGACTTTGGACAGCCTAGCAGATGAATGTTGCAAATTACCTGAATTAGAGAATGCAACCATATTGATTATTTTAGGTGTCATTTGAGATGTAGACACTGCATTGCAGTAGTTCTGGTTTTTGTTTTTTTGGTTTTGTCTGGGGTAAATCTCATGATGGCATTTGGCGCCAGTTGGTCTTTAAAACAGAAGCTGTTATAGGGAGTCTCTTGGATTTCATTCTGTCACCATTATCTATATAAAATTGCTGGATGATGTTGTTCAGGAGGTTTAGTGCTTGGTGTTACCCATGTGATAACGACAACCACACCA